ATTGTGGCTAATTGTTGATTGCTGTTGGTTTATTACTCGTTAATTTGGTTCAATTTTTGAGCGTTTGGTTTTTGTTTCTTTTATTAATCCTTTTGAATTTAATCCTCACTATCCTTATGAAGATGATGATGATTGGAACACATTGAATAACGTTGATTGCTTTCTGTTAACTGTGGTTATTATTATTACTATTAATTATTATTATACTGTTAATTGTTGTTATTATTATCCCAATTACTTGGATTTTTGCTGATTACCTTGATATTGTTGGTGGTTGAATGTTGAGCTTGACAAATCATTGCTTTTTCTTGAACACAATTGATTGAAAAATTGTCTTGATCACATTTATTGTATTAACAATTAACTCAGATAAATCTGATGAAATTAATTGTTTCAGATTTTAACGATTTTGACGATTAAATTGTCATGAGAAACATTTTATTGAGATTAAACTTAATCTCAGATGAAATTGTTGATAATTGTTGATCATCAATAACTTTGAACATATTATCAATAATATAAATCACCTGAAATAGATAATCCATCATTTAAATTAACCAACAATTAACAAGGTAACAAATTTTAAACGAAAAACAATCAACAATTAGAAAACGGGTAAATAAATTAACGATTAAAAGTTGAAACAATATTTTTCCTCATCAATTTAATTTGTTGATTACTATTAATGATATTTTCTTCACTTATCATAGAATCAACAACAATTTAATATTTATCGAGAAATTAACAACAATTAATAACTGGGAGTAAGAATTGTATCAAAAACTGTTGGGAGTTTTATCCCTGGTTAATAACAAGTGACTTGGAGTTTGTTGTACTGAAGAAAGAGATGAGAAGAGAAGAAAGAGAATTCGAAAGGATGATGAGGATGATAGAGAAGAAGAAGATGATGATGATCAGAAAGGTAACTCTCTCGAATTCTGGGTTCAAGAACTGTTCCTGGTTCGAAGAGGAATCGACGACGGCGCAAAAAGAAAATTCTATTATCTCTTTTACTCTAATTTTCTTACAGTTACCTTATTGTACTTCGTTAATTGTAATCAAATTTTGTTCTAATTGTAATTCACTTTCGATTTCCAATGACAATCAATCAGGTTAATTGTTCACCTTTCCAATTTTCCTAGAATTTTAATCGTTCGAAAGATTTGAAATTCTGTTTCAATTGATTAATCTTCTGATGGAATAGATAGAAAATTGTTTACCATGTAAGTTGAATAATCTCTGACTGAGTCTATGGATTTCATTCAACTGATTGAGTTGATTGACCTGAAAAAAATTCATGATGAATTTCATGATATCCATACATATGAATCATATTGTATTTCAATTTTAATCTTTTTTTGTTTTATTATTAATTTTTTTTTCAATTTTATCATATCATTTATCTTAATCAACAACAATTAGCCATTGATTGATTTTCAATTCTTGGTTAGAATAATTTTCCAATGATAAATTGTTTCTAATCTCAGGAAATTGAGAAACAATGTAAATGTTTCGGTGAATTGGATAACAGTTTAATTAGTGATGATCATAATTTAGATCATTAGATTTGCATTTTTATTTTTATTTTGAATTGTTCAAAGTAAAATTGATAATTTACTTTGATTGATAATTTTTTGTGTTTTCAATTTATCAGGTAAAATTGAAGATGAAGATTTACACCAAAAATTAATTGGGAATGATTAGTTAATTGCAGAATGATTAAATGGAAAGACAATTTAACGGGAATTGAATCCAAATTTAAATGCTATAAGGCAACAATTAAATTATTATTGTTATGCTTAATGTGTTGATTTTGCTCTTGGAAAATCAGGTAAAGTTAATCATTGTAATAATTGTTAACAATCTAATAAAATCAATAAGAAGGCAATTGTAAAAACCATGATCATGATTAATAATTAGAGAAAATTCAGATCTATGATTAATATTAATCGTTAATCCAGTATTTTTATCCATCAGGTGAACAGGAATTTAATAGTAAACATTGATTATCACATCGATTTATTGTTGATTATCTCTTAATGAAATTGATTCGAATCTGAAGAAGAAAAAAATTATTTAATTGAGATAAAAATTGGTTCAGTTAATTGTTGCATTAATACTCACTCATTTACTAGATTTCGATTCTCTTCAACCAAGGAGAAAAACCTTTCTCTTTTCTCATCGTATCTGTGGATAGAAATTAAATTGTCATTAATTGTTGACTTCGAAATTTATCGAACACAAATACTCACTCTCTTAGAAACTTTTGAAGATTTCGATAATCTCGAGTACCATCATTCAGACCATCGGCCAATTTTTCCGTCAAATTGATTGTCGACGATGAAACGACTGATTCCTTCATTTTGGGTTCAATCTTTTTAAACGTAATTTGCCAAAGGCATTTCTGATCATCTCGAACTTTATTCAAACACTGTTGTAACTCTTCGCAATTATTGGTAAATATTGAGAACTCTTTAAATAAACATTCCGATTGTTTGAGCGCAACTTGAGCACCAGTGTACCAATTTTCGAGTCGTTTTGTAATCTCTGACAGCGCAGTACAGCAAATATCCTCCATTAGAACTTTCAGTTTTTTAGAATTAGTATCAATTTTAACCTTCTCCAATTGGTGAAGTTGATCTTCGGCCACAGTTAAATTTCGAGCTGCTTTGTCTTTATGCAATAATTGCCAAGATTCACGAATCTTTTGAGAATAATATTTTGACCTTGATTTAGCTGTTTCAATGTCCACTTCACCCGTCGATTTGTTCATCTTATACCAATCTTCTTGTAGATTTTTAACATTTTCCTTCATACATGTCATCTTGGGCATCAAAGTTGATGAATAATCAGATAAACTTTCAAACAATATGTGACCCTTGGCCATTGATTCAAAATTAATGCTAACAGATTCCTCCAAATTTAATAGTTGAGCGATATGTTTAAGATAATCATCTACATCACTGAAATAAGCCAATTGGTGTGTTAATGAGTTGAAAAAATGGGAGCAAGCTTGTTGTTTCTCAGTAAGTAAACGCAAATTGGAATCAATCAGTGATCTGAAAAAAAGTTTGAAACATAAAGTTAATCAAATTAGAACATCAAATAAATTTTGTATCAATAAATTCAACGTTAATTGTTACACTTACATAACATGCATTGGAGTTATGTTGGCTAATTGATAATAGAGAACACACTTTTCGATAGCTCTGGAATATGCATAAGCTATAGAGGAACAAATTTTAGACTTTTGAGCATCTTCTTCGAGATTGGTTAATGTTGTATGCATAACTGGAAATTTCGGTAATTGTTTCGATAATAAAGGACTTGGCTTTAATTTGGTTACATCGGAATTTAGAAGTAAAATTGGATTATCTGGTGAACAATTAACTTCCGATAGATCATGGATTTGTTGCTTATTCCAAAGGAGAAGTGCACTTTTGGCTGGAATTGATACTTTAGTTTCCAAATTATGTTTTAAATCGTTAAGAGTTCTAAAAGCAACCAATCAGAGAGTGAGAGAGAGAAATTATTAAAAAATATTGTAATGATTGTAATTAAAAATTATCCTCTTACCCTACGGATGGATGAAGATAAATTACCACATCTTCCATATGATTGATATAAAAAATATAAAGTACATTATGAGATAGAACATGAGTTACGGTGGAGAAAAATTTTTCGAACGACCACATTTTATGAGAATCACATTCCATAATTCCAGCTAATAAAGGAACAATCAATCCTTGGATAGCTCTAAATATAGAAATATAATAATATAGTTATCACTCTTGATTACAATTTACTTGCTATTAATACTTACGGACTAAGGAGACAAGTTTGCGGGAGATTTCGACTCCAAACGATTTCACCGTTTTCTGTATGTTGATATCCCGAGATGATTCCTGATTGTTTTTCTGTTGTTATTTTAAACCTAAAGTTTTACATTAGAAAATGAAGTTAATAATAATTGTTACGAATTGGAATAATTTGATCGAAAATTTCTTACATAGTTTCTTTGTTTTTTCTTCCTCCATGAGGTTTAAACGGTAGAGATCCAGTTGCTATGTGAAAAAGAGTAACTCCAATACTCCAAAGGTCAACATTGGCACGAAACGATTTACCAGCTGATTTATGAAGAACGGCTCGTGCATACATATCGGGATGCTGATAGAAAATTGAAAGTTAGAATCAATCAATCATAGACAGTAGAAAATTGTAAAAATGATAATGGTATCAATAAGATTACCAGATATTCTTCAGTTCCATAAAGTGACATGAATGGCTGATCATCCTCCAAGACTCGAGCAGCACCAAAATCCGTTAACTTGTAAATCGAAATACCATCTTCACCGATAAATTTCATTATATTACCTGGTTTTAAATCTCTATGGATTATGTGCATGTCTCTTAGATGTTTCATACCCGCAGCTAAATGATTTAGAAAATAAAATTAGAATAAATCACAAGATCGAGTGTCAAAATCAATACAAACCTAAATGTTTGACAACAGCAATAAACTCTTTCTCCTCAAGACCATAACAATTAATTGGATCATCAAGAATATTGAATAAACTTCCTCCAGTACAAAGTTCCATGATTAATACTTTATGGTGAGATTCATTCTATGGAAGATTCAATAATAATAATAATGTTAATTACATGTTAACTTGTCCTCTAAAATTTAATTGTAAACAAAAGACTTTTGGATGAGTAGATTTTTTTTTCTCAAATTATATAGACAAGAACATCTCAAGTTTTAGGCCTGACAAGTTTAACGTAACAATTTAAAACCTGACGATGTCCAGAAATAATTATAGATTGACCTAAATTGATTCTAAAGGTAAAATTAAATGAAACACTTCCTTATACGCTTAAGGTGTTGATAGTTTTAAAATGGACACTTCTCATAATAACAATAGTAAATGTATAGGGAGAAAGAGAAACAGAAATGACCAGGAAAATTGTCCAATTTTTTTCTTATTGTTGTTGATTAGTCTAATTGAACTTACCTCTTCTTCAATGGCAATTAAACGAACAATATTCTGATGATTTACTTTCTTTAGAACTTCAAATTCTCTCTCTTGAACTTCATAAGGTCTCATATGAGAGGCATGATTAAAAGATTTCACCGCAACAGGATCACCAGTATACTTATTGACACCCGAATAAACTGCCCCGGTAGCCCCTTTGCCCAGAACATTATTCACATTCCAAACATAATTACGAGAACTCCTCAGGTAAGCCATAATGGTAACAATTTAGAAAGAATAGAATTTAATTGTTCAACATAATTAAAAATCAAATGAAAACAAGAAGAAAACAAAAATAAAGGTAATGATACACAAAAAGAAAACGTATCACTTGATTCACATGTTGTCTCTTTCACTTTCTCTCTTTCACTTAAATTGTGTTTCTTTCTCAGATTAAACCAGAGAAACAATTAAAAAGATTGTTGATTGTTTGGGTTACACATTAAATTATTAAATTCTAAATAAAATTAACAAAATTAGAGAGAGAAAAAGGTAAACAAGAATCAACAACTCTAATCAAGAGTAACAGAAAATTGAGTTTACGTTTATGAGAAAAAAAGAAAGGAAAGAGAAGAGAATTTTTTTTCTCTTTCTTTTTGTTCTTTTCTCTTTTTTCTTTTCTCTCTCTTCCTCTCCTTCTGTTGAACAACAACAAACATCATGTGAAGACATTTTCTTTTTTTTTTTACTTCGTGTCGTTCATTTAAATCCATGGAATTAGAGATTAACATGGATTAAAAGAATTTCCTTCTTAGTTCCACTATGTGAGTTGACCGGTTGAACGAATTAACTGGTTACCTAATGTGATTAATTTCTGTTAATTATTCTTCTTGTTTTCAATTCAATTCTTTTTTATTTTGTTCTCTTTTTGATTTTCCATTTACAATTTTTACTTTTGTTTATTTTTCTTTGCCTTCTTCTTGGTGTTTGGGTGTGAATTTTAATTGTGATTCCAACATCATCTGAATTGATTTGTTCTAAATTCCATCCGGTATCTTTAAACTGATCATGTCTTTTTCTGTTGCCACCAAAGTTTTCATCACATCAACTTATTCCATTCCTTTAATCTATGTGATCAACCGTTTGATTGATAAAAGCGGGATAACTCCTTTTTTTATCTCTTTACTGACCATCCTAATTGGTGGATTAGTTTTAATCACCATAATCAAGTCTACTCGTAATGGTGTCCCAAGAAACAATCGTTACCCTTTTTACAGTAAGTTGAAACCAATAACATTGTCAAAACGGTAGTTAATTTGTTCCTATAATTTTTATATAAAAAAATTCTTTCCTCATTTTTAATTGTTGTTTTCCTTTTTCATTTATCTTCTAGTTTTTGGAACAATTTGTTTCATTAGTGTTTCCTGTCTAATTATAGCACTGGAATTGGAAAGTTTAATCTCAGGTTTCACCAATTCTTTTCTTAAACATGGAGAACCCCATTTAAGATCTTCATTTGGAGCCATGATCTGCCATTGGAATGGAATTGTTAATCATGCATTAGCCTTGATGATTGTTGCTGCTATTACATGGAGGTAATTAACTATAAAAATGGTTTCAACGAGTCAACAATTAAAAATAATCACCAGAACAATATATTATATCCAATGACAAGGTCACCTAATTTCTTTTCTTCTTTTCATTCCGTTTGTTGTGCCTTTGATTTTATCAACTCAAGAGTTTTTTATTCTTCAACTAATCAGCTTAATTGATTAATTAACTCTCTCTCTCTCTAGAGTCTTTGTCATTAAGCAAATGTTAATCAATAGGTAGCTAATACAATTAATTAGCAATTAATTGTGTTATTTTGATAATGGTGATTTCCAAAAGATAATATTTTCCTTGATGTAGATTATTTTTAATACATGTATTACTAAATCAATATGATGATTTATTTAAGCTATTAGATTGTTACCTTGATTACTACTCAATGTGAGTAAACAGATAAATTCTGGTTAGGTTTTTAAATGGTTTGTGTTTGTTTTTTTCGTATCTCTTTGATTGTTTATAATTAACAAAACTTTCTCTTTATTTTTTTCCAATAGCAATGATTACACCGATACTTTATGCTTTTGGCTTGGTTCTTGGTTGAATAATAGCCTCGTTTTATTGATCGGTATTATGGTCGGTAAAACTGGCCTTAATGGAGGTTTTCTCATGTATTTACCATTTATATTTGTTCCCTGTCACATGGCCTATTGTGTTTTAATCAAGAAACAAAGGAAAACCACCAAATCCACAATTAACCAACAAAATCAATCAGATGAAATTGATTTCATATGGAAACGGCCTTTTGACCTAATACTTTGTTTTATATTTTTACTATCGACTTTGATGACTCTTCTTCGTGGCCTTGCTGTTCTGGACAGTCCATTTTGGTTGTGTACCAGTTATACAAAATCCGTTGAACCTTACCTGTTATCCTCAACTCCAGCACCTTTTGCTAAAATTCAAATGATTATCTATTTATTTTACTATTTACCCTTTTATTTGTATGCAATTAACCGGTTAATTGTTAATCGTTGTACTAATAATCAAACAATGTCCAAACTAAGTGCATTCCTGGCTGGAGCTGTTATTGCTGCCCAATTTACTCATATTGGTTCATCTTTCCATTCAAGAACACCCTATATACTTAGGGTGCCCTCTGATTTTATGTCACAACTTTTATTCTGGTCAATTAACTTAATCTTAACCATTGGTCCTATTTTACTCGCAATTAGATGCAAACAAGATGAATCAACAGAAACATATGAAGACGATGAAGATAAGGTAACAAGTTTTGATCAAAAGAAATCAACTGATTAAAAACAATTACAATTGTTTCCAATCAAGATTTTTTTTCAATGTAAATGTTTTTATTTTATATTTTCCAAAAAGAAATAAATTTATATAAATTGCAAGACAAACAATTTAAATTTGTTTCGACCTCGAAACGATTGATTAATACTGAGAAATTAATCAGATGATGAACAAAGTTGAGTTTTAAATTTTAGAAACAAAAATAATTGATAATAGTCATCTTATTGGCAGAAATGATAGAATATAAATTGGAATCCAATTGATTTAAAGAGAGAGAGTAAAAAAAATTCGAATGATTTTCAAAGAGATTTCATTTGATTCATTAATTCTTCCAACGATTGTTCAGTATCTTGAACAGTATCTTTCGAATCAACTTGAACGGATGGTTCATCTTTCGTATATTGTAATTTAACCCCCGGGGCAACTTCGACTTCATCGGCCTCGGGAACATATTCATCGACTAAACAAATTCCCCAATCATTTTCTTCATGAACAATTTCCGGTTCTTCTATTGGTATTTCGACTTTAGGTTTAGTTGATTCGTTAAGTTGATATTCCTTTTGACGAGTGACACAATTTGGATCATCACAATTTGGATTTGGCTTCATTGACATGGTCGGGAAAAAATCGAGCATCGCATTGTAGCCCAGGTAATCGGTCACCGAACCAAAATTGAGAAGATATTTGAGAACATTTTGAATGAGAAAACCGGCCACAATTCCCATGGTCGTCGGTAGAGATGCGGCACAAACACCTTCTTTTTTCAGTGTTTTCTCATCGATTCCGGAAGCGACTACCAAGGGAGGCGCACACTAGATTAATAGGAGAGAGAGAGAGAGAGGATAATTTATCGGTTATCATTTAGAAGGCTGCAAATTTACTTACGGCAAAACAAGCGGTTCTTCCGGGTTCGATCAGCTGAATGTGGCCTGAAACAGCGTTCTCACTGACGCCCGATTCAAACCAAATTTGATTCACTTCATTACAAGCAGTGTTAATCGCCATTCTTGCTTCAAAATTGTCGACACAACTAAGGACCAGGTCAACTTTTTTATCACCTAATCCTCCTTTGGCTATTCTGTCAAGAAAGTGATTAAAATTATCCACCTTGGTTATATCCATATTGTGGCTTTCAAATACAACATCCGGATTGATGAACGATAAAGTTTTTGAAGCAGCTTCAACCTTTGACATTCCTGCTTGATTTGGTTGGAAAAATAAACGATTCATATTTGCCAATTCAACTTTATCGTAATCAAACATAATCAGTTTACCAATTCCACATCGAGTTAACATCTCAGCGGATACAGAACCAACACCACCAATACCAACAATTAAAACGGTAAAAGATCGTATTCTCTATGTAAACAATTAAATCAAACAATTTCATTGTCAAAAATTAAATGTTATTATTAATATTAATGTAATTGTAATTTACTCAGGTATTAACATATGATTAAGAAACTCACCTCATAATTTTCAACAATTCCCATTCTTTTTAGAGCCATCAGTCGACTAATAATGTAAAACAACGTCGAAACATAGAATAGTATTAATTAGAAAAAATATTTGAGAGAAAGAAATTAAATTGATTGTTGTGATTAAACAAAATTCAGTGAATGAACAATTGACTAACCTGTAAGGGTTCATATCGTTTACCTCGGCGGACATTGTTTCAATCTTGGCTCGAGAAGGTTCACCCATTGTGATAGAGAGACTTTAATTGAAATAATTGAAAGAACAATTAAAATAAAATTAATAGAAAATGATTAAAGTTTAATTAACTAAATGAATCCCGGTTTCGTGGCAAAAGATCAACAAATGGAAACATTGACAATGTTTACAAATCAGATTCTATTGGCGGTTAATTTAAATAGAAGAAAAATTGAAAACTATTAACAAAAGAAAAGACAAAATTTACAACAATTAAGAATAGAATAGAATTAGTTAATTATGTAATGATGGAATGAAAATTTAATACAAATTATGTTCAGATTGAGAAAATTATTATAACTTTTTTGAATATATTACAATGGGAAAGAGTTTAATATGTTACATATAATATTAAAGTTGAACTTATGGTCACTTCTAGTGGTCAGTTTGCTTTTACCACCAACCCCATCCATGTCCCCAACCTCCATGTCCATGGCCCCAACCTCCGTTCCAGCCCTTGAAAGTGTTGAAATTGGGGAAAACATTGTGTCAAATTAGTTGATTGTTTGGTAAAAGTTTAATTGATTAACTTACATGTGACAAAGCGGCATGAGCGTGACCACCATGACCCCATCCTTGGTGTCCCCAACCACCGTGACCATGATGACCACCACCATGTCCCCATCCTGACCAACCATTCCAGCCCCAACCATGACTATCATGACCATGACCATGGCCGCCATGTTTATGGTGATGACCATGATGATGACCATGTTTATGTCCCTAAACAAAAACATGATAACAAATAAAAAAAAAAAGGTTGACAATTGTTCAAAATTGATTCAATTGATTGGTTAATCAAAAAACTTACATGATGATGTCCATGGTGATGACCATGATGATGATGAATCTTTTTACCTTCATGAGCATGATGATGATGAACATTTTTCTTGCAACAATGATGATGATGATGATGAGAAGTGACCACTACAATATAAAGTGTGACCAACGATAAAACAATTAATAGCCTCATGTTTGCTCAATTAGTTAATTGTTTGTGAAGCAAATGTTTAACGACAATTTCTATCTATTCAATTGATTAATCTGAACAATTGATCAGATGATTGGAAACTGATTCCGTTGATTCTGATTGTTTCAAACTTTTATACTCTCGATGAAATCAACTCTGATCATCTCACTTACAATTACAATCTAAATGGGAGGTTACATTACAAGACAATTAAGTTAAATCATCTCCACAAAATTAATAATTGTCAAAGTACAAATTATATACTGATTATGATAGAGAAACAATTTAAGATTTAGAGACGACAATGAAAACTAATTGTTAACTAAACTGAAGTTAAGTTGAAACAAAAAAAAAGTTTCGAAATTAATTTTTTGTCAATTAACAATCATCAGCTATTGATTAACTAGTAATTAAAGGTTGATCCGATTGTAATTAACTTGAATAACTGTCTGAACGTTGATCATCTTAATCAACATTTCGTTTAAGAGTAAAAAAAGTTATTAGAACTTTTTTTTTCTCGAATCGACTTGTGTCAAGTTTTCTTCCGTTTTCGCAATTTGGACCTTTTTTCCCTTCTCACCTTTGACATAGTACGACAATCAAGTTAATTTGATCAACTTTAAGACCTTTTTTTCTTGTATATTGTCACCCAATCAGTTAATCAACTTCAATTAATTGCTTATGAACGTTAAAATCCATCACAAACATTATCAAGAACAAGAAATTAAATTAAGTGTCAATCTTAATTAAACAGTTAAGGTCAAAATCTAATCAATTGTTATAAGAGTTTAACTTTTTTATTTTTACTTCAAAACAAAAAAAAATCTTCAAATCTCTTCCTTCCGGATAATTAAACAATTAAATATTAAGATAATTAAAGTTAATCAAAAGTTGACACACAGAGAGAAAAACAATTAATTCTCAAATTTTCGTGCCTATTTTTAAACACAAATCTCATTACCGATCAATTTACACAACAATTAATCAATAAAGTAACAATTTTCCATCGTATTATCCAATAATTAATTTAATTTCTATTCCTAATTGAGTTAATTAAGTTAATTCGGTTCTTTGAAAGACCCGCCATTCCATAGGAAAAAAGCGTCACCTGGTGAATGTGTTTACCTTTTCATCTTCTCGATGTTATTTTTGATTGAATTTTTTTTGCTTCTTGTTAATTGTTTCTAATTAGTCATTTTAATTACTATCATTGTGATAAATGTTTAATCATTTCTATTTTTTGGTTAATTTTCTTTCTAACCTGAATACCTTAATGTGTTTTTATTAAACTCTCAGTAAAGACTTTGAAAGAAAAGAGAGAGAAAAAGAGAGTAAGAGATTGGGAAAAAAACAGTGAATAAGACATTTGATTTTAGAGAAGGAAAAAATTGTGACAAATTAACAAATTTCCTATCTGATGACTAGTTCAGGAGTATTCCAATTTGGAAGTTTAGACAAAAGTAATGATGGTGAAGAGGAAAAAACCGATGTGTAAGTTTTAATTGTCTTAATTTTCCTGCTAATCAAAACTCTCAGATCAAACCGGTGGTTAATATTGTTGTTTACTATTTTCTCAATCGGTTTAATCTCATCATCTGTCAATTTTCAATTTTAATTGTTTTTTTTTGTTTCTCTTCCATGTTTTCATTTTACTTTTTGAATGATGGTTGTGCTAAATTGGATTTCCACGTGATAATTGTGTCTCTAGGTTTAAGGAGTTCAAAGGTTTATTACCCAACTTGACGATTGGTTATGATGAGGTTCCACTTGATGCTGATTTTGCATGGTTACTGTTTTTACTTCTTCTCTCGACAATTTGGTTAACTTATTCACTTTATTATAATTCGAGAGTTTTTGGTTACATTTTAACCAAATTCGTGAACAATTTTATTATCGCTCGATACCTTTATCCAGATACCAAAAGATGCGAGCAACCTTATTTCCGGGTATCTTCATTTTCACTTACATTCATATCAGGCAAGATAATGTTCCGTGATCTTGTTTGGATAACAACAGATTATTCATTGAGAATTCAAGATGGTTGGATTATCCTTCGTTGGTGGATTCCATTTGAACCAAGAGATATACGGAAAAGTGATTTCAGTCATTCTGATGCAAGATTATCAATGTTATTCAATGGATTTGAATTACATATTTATAATAGATCTCAAATGTATACATATTTGGAACGTTTATTTGGTATTAATCCACCAAAATTTCATCCAGATTATGATGATATTAGTGGTGGTGGCGGTGGAATAGGTGGAATTGGTAATAGTAAATCACCTCCCGAACCAGGAGGTAATCAATCATCATCATCAACAACAACGACAACTGCACAACAACAACAACAACCATTAAAGGCAACAGATAATGATAAATTAATTAGTTTCTATTTGTGGAGAAATTTTTTCCCATTAACAAAGATTGAAATACTCACCGGTCGTTTTGTATTTGGTAATCATCTTATTCCAAGTACCCTGTTGATCACATTTGAAGAAGGTCATATTACTTATACCTCTCGTCCTGCCGTTTCACCTCACGATCTCTTCACTCACATAGCTAAAGCCAAAGCGGAAAGTTATAAAATTATTTTAGCTCCTAGTCCAAAATATATCGGTATCGTTGAAGAACCACCTCGATTTATGGGTGAGGGTTTTGTGGTTTTCCAGACAAACGCCATTGATTTATATTATTATCAAGATGAACCCGGTTTGGCAGCTAGTGATCCAGAGCCAATTGAACTGTCCTCTGGTGATGTAATCCACGATTTCACTGCACCCGCTTGGGGATTGGACATTAAATGTGGAAAGGGGACTCATTTTGGTTATGGACCTTGGGCTGATCGTAATCGTGATCATCTTTATAACTTTTTCTATCCTCCCGATTATCAGCCAATCATCCCAACAGCTAAACCTAAGCCTGGAGAGATGAGGACAGCGGAAAACTTTTACATTCGGCTAAGTACTCTTGCCGATGCAGCTATTGACATACTTTTTATTACGAAAGAGAAAGAGACAAAAGCTCTTCATGTTAACGCTGGACCAGGATCTTATCTGGAAATATCAATACCATGGATTTGTAAAGAGGAAGGTTATCAATCTCACATTTGGGGACAAATTCTACACCTTGATGCAACCACAAACCTAAACTTTAGGTCACTTGCCGAAAGTGAAACCCTTGAATTTGATTTTAAAATACTTTATCCCCGAATTTGGAATCACCATCAAACTTGGATATGTTCACTTACTGGTTGTAAAGCGACAGTTGACCTAATCTTTGCCCATAAAATTTTCTTCTGTGATTTAATTGACGATTGGGCAAGTAAAGATTTACCCGATATTCTTACATTTATTCCATATACATGGAAATTTTCCGTTAAACTGATTGATTTTGAATTAATTACCTTGGCCAATGAATATAATTGGATTGACTGTTCATCCAAATTGAACAGTGAGAATGCTCAACTTGCCATTGTTGGCGATATTTACGATATGTCATTTGATTTACCATTTGATGAATTTCTTCCACCCACCGTTTCAATTAAAATTTGGATTCAAGGTGAAAGTTTAAACGCTGCCCTTTACCTTCCCGAGTGTAACCCTCACCGAGAGACACTTCATATGTTAGATAAATATGCCAAACTTTGTCCACCTCTTTTTAACTCTTCAAACCAGGAGCCCTATTTTACTGCAATTAAAACTTCTGACCTTTTCTCTTGTGATAAAAAATGGTCCCGATCAGTGAGTCGTGCCAATGGTTGGATAGATTGTTGGTCCGTACGGATTGTTGCTCTTTCCATAACCTACACATATCATCCAGTTCCACCGAAAATACCCACACCCAAACCCTCCGAAATAACTACACCCGAACGTGAGGAACTTCTCCTTGAACCAATTCGCCCAGAAAGTAATTTCTCTTCCACTAAATTTACTAAAACAATTCCACCCGATTTTAATCCTGGTTCAATGGATCCCGATCTTGTTGAACTTGAACTCGAAGTTGGCCCATCCAAAATTTGTCTCTATGGTACATTATTCCGAATGCTATGGAATATTAAAGAAAATTATATCGGAGAGTATCAAACTTTTACCGATTTTAATTCCAATCCAAGTGTCACTGAACCATATGAATTGAATAAAACCCCTTGTAAACCATCATCAATCTATGGTGAGGCCAATAAGCCATTTGATGCTCGTCTTTACCGACCTTTAGCCGTTAATGTTTCCGTTACTTTGCATAATATTCAAGGACACATAATGAAAAGCTGTGATGAAAATGATTCCAAATCAAATACACCTCCATGTCCTTACCTTTACCTGGAGAGACTTTCCTTTGAAATGGATAAACAATACTCTGAAACAAAGATGCAATTATTATTATCACCATTGATTCTTGATGCACCCGAATATACAACTGCTTTAGGTAATCGAACTCTTTCCAATACTGGTCATTTAATTCTTGATTCGTTACAATTTCGTGGACATGCAATGTTTTCCGGCCTTGAAAGGCCACTTGACTCTGAAACTCTTGAATATGCTTGGCTAATTGAGGCTCATCTTGGTGAGATATCGGGTCGTCTTAGTTTACCTCAATTTCAGCAGATATTTATTGGCTTGGAAACTTTATTACTCCAAGTGGTACAAGAAGATTGCTCCCTTCAACCTCCTACACCTTACCAAAAGTGTCTCCATGATATGGTACAATCACTTTGTCCCAAAACACAAACTTCGGGAGATAATAAAATGTGCCCTTACTCGGAAGATTTAAAATATCGTATGGTACGAATTGATTTAGATTCAATTGCACTTTATTTTACCGATGTTAATACAGTTTTAGCTCTAGAATTGGATCAGATTAAATTTTGTACCTGTAACCTTCATAGTTGCCATACATCGAGTGGGATGACTGCTCTTTTCAAAGAGATTACTCTTCATCATTACATCTCGATGAGTAGTTCATTAAGTAATTTTAAAAGTTCTAAACTTTATCTTGCACCGACAACCAATCAATCGTCCCAACAATTACATTCTAATGATCCAAGTGATGCAACTTTTTACGAAGTTTGTAAAATTAACTTTGGTCCCATTTTCGTTGATTCGGCTGAACTTCTTTCGGTGGTTGATAATTTTACCGTTAATCAGGATACATTTTTACGAACTCACGATGAGGCAACTAAACGTTTATGGTTTTTATGGACTAAAAGTAAAACATCAACAGTTAAATCATCAACAAGTGAAACAAATTTCAATAATAAGAATGGTAAATGCGGTTGTGTTGGTGGTTGCGTATTCTTTGGTAACAATTCTCGAGGACATGATTTCTTTTCTCTCAATAAACATGATCCCACTCTCCACTCGGAGGGGAATATCCTTTGGGGTGAAAGTTTATTACGTCCTGGTGAACCTGTGGTGGGTTTTCAGATAAATACAGTTTTCACACTGGAAGAGGAGAACGAGGATACTTGTGAATTAGCTCCACTTTTTGATCGAACCAATTATTGTGTAACAAGTCCACTTTCACCTTCAGTTCGAAGTAATTCCGTTATAACGGGAAATGATTCATCTCTTCAGAACATATCATCATTTTTGTCCACAAGTCAAACAATTAAATCGGGTAGGATGGGAATCTTTTCTCGACAACTTTCAAGTCCATGTAGATCTAGTCCATTTCCTTATCGAGGTAATTTGACCACATCACTTTCTGTTTCATCAGCTGGTAAGTTGACAATTTATTTTGTTGAGTTTCGAAAATTGTTATTTCCCAATCAATAACCTGATCTTATTATAAATCTTTTTCTTTGATACAGTTAATGACGAAAGACAAAAATTATCGTTACCTGATCGTCCAAGGAATCGTTCATTAAGTGAAACGGACGATATCGAAGTGTCCAAAGATTTGTTCAAACAAAATGGTGACTCAACAACTTTAATTGGTGGTGGAATTGATGGTAAAAAGATTGTCGATTTTACATCGATACATTCACGAGAAAATTCATCTAAAAGTGGAACTTCAAAAGCAACGGAAACTTATTTTACTCTAACCGATCCTTACTTTTCGGCAAGTGATTCCTTCTCATCCTCATCAAAAGATTCTAAATCAACAACAGCTGATCACACTTTAGTAACAGCACCAACTCATCAACCAGTAGATAATGTTAAAAGTGATGATACCCTTGTGTCCATCATGTCAATCCCTGGATCAGGGCCAACATGTTCCGGTGGTGTAACATTCCGTGAACAATCAATGAGTCAAAATGCTCTGAATAAATCACGAACTAGTTTAAAATCAACTTACAGTGCACCTCCTGATGCTGGGCCAACGGCAACAATTAACATTACAACCGTTAATCAGGGTGATGGTGAGGGTATCCTCGATGATGGAGATTCTGAAAGTGATAATCATTCCATATCATCTTCATCTTTCATCTCAGCTGTTTCCTCTCAAGAGGAAATTGGTATCAATGCATTAGTCGATCTTCGTAATCAAATGGAAAAGTCCATCATTGAATCTCCATTATTAATGTCTTCCTATACTAATCATTTAACTCGATTCAAGTGTTCAAATCATAAACATTCAAATTCATCTTACGATATTTTAACCCTTCGAGGGCGGAAAAAAGTTATCCCTCGATTTGTTCGTGCCACTTCAAATGGACTTTCATGTATTCGATTAACGGAAAAATCTTACTCTGGTGAAGGTGGTGCTTCCAGGTACAAGAAAACAGTCCCTGGAACTAGTGGCCTTGGAAGCGATGAGAGCGATAAACAAGTCGACTCGGAAGGATCGGCTCGAAATAATCGTTTTCTTTTCACTCCTGGTTCAGTTTACGAAAAAATTGATTCTCATGTTTCAAATGCCAAAAAGAGGAGAAATGGTTTCACCGGTGAAGGCAGTGGTGATGATGAAGATGATGAGCTGGAAAATCTTGCATTTAAAAAGCGAATGGAAAAACAGTTTAGTAAAACGGTTGAATATCGAAGTGAAAAATTGACCATTTTGGTTCGTATGAGCGGGGAAGCCTCGATCCGTATATCACCTTTAAGTCTTGATGGTTTGAAAACTTTCGTCGATGGTATCACAGATTCACTGGCTCAAGTTCATCCATTGACGGTTTTAAATCATTTGAATGTTAAATGTTTCACTTCGGTGTCGAGAAAAAATCAACTAAAGAAAGAGAAAACTCTTGAATATGGACAATTGAAACACAAAGCGTGGAAAAGTACCTTGGATCGTGAAAATAACAATCTAAACTCGTCGATTCAACAAGCAACTACAAGTGGACCAACTAGTGGACGAACGCGGTTTGGTGATGCTTTTCAAGATGTTAAATCACAATTCAAAACTGCACCCGTTGAATCAACGGTCACCGCTAATCAATATGAGGAAAATAAACGATCCAAGTTTCAAGTTTTCGTTCAAATTTCTAAGATAAATATTATCGTTCTTCAGGCTTCCCTTGTTGAAGAGTTTATAACTTTCTCAGCACTTGATGATATTCGGGATCTAACATGTGTCTCAATGTTTTCCGTTTCCATGTCAAAGACCAATTTTGACTTTTACTCTTCCCGTCAAGAGCGTCGTTCACTTCATACCATCATAAGTAATAACATTCGAACTCAACCAACATCAGCTTTTGCCCAGTTCGCTCAAAGTGATATCGTTTCTCGTTTACTTTTCCGTAAGCCCAAAAAAGAGCAGGCAGAAGTCGAACCAGTAACAATTGAGACCCACGAACTTTTGGAAGAGGAAACTGTCGGATCAAGTGGAATTGGTAGTTTACACGTTCAATTGACGCGATTGAAAAATAGTTCATCCATTTTGAAAGAAGCCATTTTAACGGTTATTCCTCAAAATCAAAGTCGAGTAAATTTCTATTATGACAAAATACCCGATCTTGGTCAACAACAATCATCAGGATCTAAAAATTTACCATCATCATCATCAGGAACAACAGGCCACACAGGTCAGCGTCGACGATCAAGTGGAACAACATCAGGTCGAGTTTTCCTTAGGCGCCAAGATGGTCAAGAAGATTTCATCAAAGTGACCGAAGTGAGTGGTGATAGTACCAACATCTCAATCGATCCCAAAGTAAGTGGCGATGGCTCAAGTGGAGGTGAAAGTGATAATCCGCTTTATTCGGGTTTCATCATGTTCGAAGGAGGACTCGAAAATATTGACCTAAAGGCCGTGAAAAAACGAGAAATGTTAGACCAAAGTGCTAATACCAACCAAGATAAAACAAAAGACACAAGTGCAAATAATACAAACGTTAACGCAAACAACGAGTCTCAAGCTCATCATTCAAGTGAAAACGGTGAAAATGTCAAGGAAGATTTTAACAACCCGACAAGTGCTACTGCCACGGGTGCAAGTGGGTCGGAAAATAAGAAGGAAAGAAAGTCGTTGAAAAAAGAGCGTGACAAAGGAGCTTCATCGTTTATCGGTGAAATTGGAGTTATTTGGCTTAATTTTGCTGCACCATTGAAAACACCCAACACTCGGAAAATTGATTACACACGATTAGATTGGCACTTACTGTCCACGGCGACACCTTCCATCAATGCCTGGCTAAGTGTTGGTGATCGGTTTGTTGTAGCGATGAAAAAAATGAATTCCCTGTACGAACAACGTGTCTCCTCCATGATAACATATCTCATGATTTCAGGGTTGGAAGTTGAAGGAATTCACATTCCACCTCAAAGTAAATGTTACATTCGCAAATATACACCCTACTCGAAATCGCTACAAGAAGATCCATCGTGTCAATTGATGAATGTTCTCCGTCGTTACCTTAATCGACATGCATCACTACTCGAAGTAGAAGATAATCTAAAATCTGACCTATTACCTCCTCTCCATGTTCTCAAACGAGGAGTTATCGCTGCTTCTCGTCAATGGAAAAACGCTCTTTACATGCCACTTTTAGTCGAACAGAATATCCGTCTCACTCGTGGTGAACGTGATGCATCAAGTATTTATCAATCTTCGATACCATTGAGGTTACTTTTTGGTACCTCTGTTGTACCACAGAAACCCGTTCAAGATATTGCTTGTTCGATGAATCCTGACCCAACTACAAGTGAGGAACGAATTAACTCTGAAACGATCGATGAACAAACGAAACTTTTATTCTCATCTCCTCCAAAAGCATCAGAAAAAGAGGCCCAAGAATCGCAAGCAATTGAAATGAAAGATATTACAAGTAATACAGTTCGCATGGGTGAGGAATCACCACGTGAACAGCGTGGACTCACTTCGAGACGAGGTCGAACTTCCAGCCAACCAGAGATTATTATAACAAACGGAGTTCGCAATGGACCAAATGAAGAGAATGGAGGTCATCCACCTCGCAGGAAAATGTCAACTTTACCGAACATTTTTTCACGATCATCTCGTGGCTCTGTTGCTTTTCCACTTCTAACTTATCCTCTCGAATCACTTGGTTCGGGAGTGAACAAAGCGTACGGATTCTTGTTCAGTCCAAATAGTCACCAAAGTTCATGTGTCAAGGGAAATAAGCGGCAAGAAAGTCAGTGTAGCCTTAAATCGACGTCTTCGTCATCGAGTGCCGTTGATGCAGCCATGATGGGTGAATCGTTGTTCAACACTAAAAGTGGTGACAATTCAGATTATCACGAGGAAAATTTGTACCTTTGGATGTCACGGCAACAAGATTACATGGAAGCTAAACATTTGTACCAAACATCGGGTGCTAATAACAACACGAATCATCAAACTCATCGTCGAACTTCATCTTTGAATCCTCGACACGTTGAATTGGATCCAACTCGATATGCGACACTTGGTTCGGCTTATAGCTATGAAGAAGAAAGTGCCGCAGCTGCCGTCGGTCGAAGTACAACTGATCCAGTGGTCGAGGTACCACCAGGTTTTGTTTTCGTTCCCACCGGTGTTCAACTTAACAATGTTCGTATTATATTTCAACCTCTTTTCTCTTCCCTTGGGGTGGAAAATTTCACCGAAGAGGGAGAAGCTGCAATATCTTTCGATCAATTAGGGCCAAAGATCACTTTATCCGCTTCGATAAAAATGTTCAAAGTTAATATCGTTGAAAGTGAAGTAGCCGATCCCAATAGGTCAAGATCATCGCCAATATCATTCAACTCGTCAACCGCTGATCGTTTGCCAAACATGAAATCAACATCACATCTAAGACCTGATTTCCTCTTTTCATCGACATCGACCCAACAACAACCCTCTCAATCTCAGTCTCATCTTCAAGGATCGGCACTGAAATTGGAAACATCGGCATTTATTTGCGATGGACTTGTCGTCGGTCTTGACTTACGAAAAGTAAAAGATCCAATGTCCACAACAGGTGAACCCAGTGTTACTATTGATCCATCAACGGTACCGCTCCATTCATCTGGTACTGTTCCTCATACAATAGGTACAAATATTGAAGAGAAATCAACTGAACGTGATGAAAATGTACCAATTGTAATTGTTGGACCTGATGGTGGAATTAATGAGATAACAACAACAATTAACTTTAGTGTTGATGTCCATCAAATTATTCAACGTGTTAATTTACCTCTATTGCGACTATTACATCAGGTCGCTTCGATGTGTGAAAGTATCAAGGAAACTCGTGAAGAATTGAAAGCAAACCGTATTGAAGGAACCTCTTCCCCGGGGGTTAAGGTCAGTGATTTTATCACTGCAACCAGTGCGGGTGTTTCTGGTAGTGGTGTTGGTGTAACGAGTGTTGGTTTATCAGGTGATGATGGTGTTGAAATTGAGGAAATAATTGTCGGTGATACAAGTCGATCACCATCACTGGCAAGTTTACGACCTCTAACCTCCCGTTCAAATAAACAACGAATCAATAAAAGTCCAGAGGGTAGTATCAACTTGGGAATAGTTAAAGAAACGATAATTGAAATGCCAACAAACGATGATGATTCCGTTGAAATCGCAATGGTTGGTTCAGTTGTTGATGGATTACCTTCACCCGTTAACGGTACTAATGAGCCGATAACAACTCAGCTTAAATGCTGGCGAACAATGTATTACCTATTAGACCTTTATGAGACGACACCAGAGACCAAAACAATAATCGAACGAGCGGAAAGACCACCGACAACTATGCAACAAATAGAGACAAAAATAACGATTGAAGATGATGATGCCAATCGTAATCGTGGTAAAGGTGGTTATGAACCTTTGAAAGATAATTTCAGTGATGCCGATGATTTAAGTACACCGACAACTGGAGGACGTAAAGTTAGTCTTGTTGAAGGAATTGGCACTGGAACGGGAGCTCAGCGAAAGTCGATGATCAATATTGTCTCAAGCGATAAATTAAAAACCTATACTCAGGCATTAATCCATCGGGAACTTACACCGTTAATTGTTTTCGGTGTGGTGACTATTCAAAAGGTAAATCTAATGGCCATGTTGGGTGGACTTAAACTGGACGGTGAATTGTCATCATTCCAGGTCAGTTTAACACATAAAATGAAATCTCGTGGAGCAGCGGCTCAATTTAAGAAATGGGAGGAAAGCTCTTTAACTGGACAATTGGGTCAGTCAACATTTTCACTCTTTGAAGAGGTTCCACCCAATCAACAAATGGTCGTGAAAATGACCATCGGTAAATCTCAGACTCTCATTTCATCGCAAAATCGTAAAGGTAAAGATTCCAATTCAGCGCTATTAACCATCGGTCCAATTATGATCGATATACCTCAACATCCAGTCGCTTTACACGGAATGATGACTCGATCATCTCGTCAATTGTCAACAACTTTACAAGAGTTACGATCATCTCGACAACCATCTCGATCATCACGTCAACAAAATGACTCGGAAAATTTAACAGCATCAATGACCGGTGCTAATTTAGGGCCTTCTTTCAGTTCAAATTTAGTAACATCACCAACCCGAGATTCAGTTACTCGAGAGGTAAAGGAAAATGTTCCCGTTTACATTACAGTCGAACCTGTTGGTCAATCGAAACCGGAACTACCCAAACTTATCAAGCCAATTGTTTTCCAATTTAGTATCGTTTTCGATTCATTATCAATCGGAGCTTCTTTACTTCCCTCTCTTCGAGCACAATACAAGATTGGCCAAATAACATCGAGTGGAATCATGGGAACTAAAGCGAAATTTGTGGTCGACGTTCGTGAACATACCCTTTCGTTCAACACCAATCTACCCACGGCTGATTCTAATCTTCCCTCGTCCGCCAACGTCTCAATGCCTCCTATTCATGTTTCAGCTGAATATATGGATGATCCTCCTCCAAATCGAGGTAAAGTTCCAGGTCCAAATAGATCAGAAAGTTTTGCTGACGGAATTGTACTTCGAAAAGGAAGTTATCTCAACGCGATCGCTGATATTGGTTCATTTGAACATAGTTTAACAACCGATCTTCTTAATCATTTACTGTTGGTACAAAAAGTTTTCATGAAAGAGGTAAATGAAGTTGTCCAAAAGATGTCAGGTTACGAGAGTAAAATATTGGAACCTGAATTGGGTGAAATGGATAAATCGATGAACGATTCTCTTCATTCTGGACTTTTAACATCAACCGGCTCATCGAAAGGACGATATCTACTTTTCTCACTTCATCTTCGACTCAAAGGTATCCAAATAACGGCAACAACTCCGACCAATTCAGCGGTTCGCCTTGAAACCGGTGTCATGGAATTACAATTATCGAATCGAGTACAAAACATGTCATCAACTTTTCGTGGTTCTCATGAGGTGAATCTTAAAATGTTCATTAAACTTCAAGTTGACTTGAATGTTGCTCTTGGGCAATTGATAAGAAATGCTTTATTTGAAGAAGCTGATCCAGAATTTCAACAATTAGCTTATTTTAAAACTCGAATTGTCCTTCGAAATGCTTTACAAGATGAACTTGTCTCTTCTTCGATGACCTCAGCTGAAGGTAAAGAGGCTCTTCTCATTACTCTTCATCGACCTTTACTCTACATTCAACCCTTGGCTCTTGACAAAGCAGTATTGGTTTGGTTAAATTATAAAAACGCTTACGAGTATTGGAACGAGCAACGAGCCAATTTAAATAAAGAAGTACTTATAACAACCCAACAAGTACTGGATAAATTACCTCAATTACCTCAAATTAGTCCACAAAATTTGGGAACATTGTTCCTTCAACTGACAATCGACGATCTTGGCATTTGTTTACCAATTTCGTATTCCAACACTTTCCAAACATCAGGATTGATAAACTCGAAACCTTATGATGCTGAACTTAAATCGGCTCTTGTGATTACGCTTGAATCGACCCGAATCTCTGCCTGTTCTTGCGGTTCTCTTGTATCAAAGGCTCGATTTACTGGACTTTGTTTCCGGTTTGCTGATGATTTCGAGACTTCCTTAGATGATTGGAAACCCGATCATTCTGATCCATCGGTTATGAATCTATGTGTTGTCTCTGAAGGAACTTACGAAATGTGTTCAAAAACGATCACTCATATGGCTCCTAATCAGTCCGTTTTGTCCAGTAGTGATGCTAAATGGTTGCTCAATGTTTCCTGGAAGATGGAGGGTTTTGACATCCATGTTGACACCTCGATTGGAAAACAATTTTCTGCCCTCTTTAAAACACTTACAGCGATTGCTGGAGATGAAGATGAACTGGACACTATTGATTATTCATCGATTGATGATACAACTAATGAACCTTACGAGTTGAAAGGTGATGTTATCAGTGGTGTTGCTGGAGAATCAGAAACAACATCACCTCTTGTTAATGACCCCGAATTGGCCAATGTTAATCTACGTCGAACCTCAGTGTTCAAAGATCCTTCACTTGATACTCGAAAACGATCACGACTAATCGAGAAAGAGCTTAACGAACAAGCAAAAATAATCAATGACCTGAAAACTTTAGGCGCTAGTCAGTCCACCATTGAACAGGAAATCAAGAGACTTCATGAGCTGGAATCTGCAGTTTTCAATGACTTTAAACGTGATGTAATTAAAAAGTTGCGTCGACAATCAGTTAAACGATCATCATTCAGAGATAAAATCAACTTGCCAGATAATAAAATGACACCTTCGATAACGGAAACGTGTCTTAATTCAGACGGAGAACCAGGAATGACCACTTCTGAAAGCGATGGAACCAAATCAATTGAAAGACCAATAAATTTAATCAATAACGGCGATTTAGCACCAAGAAGTGTTTCTCTTGAATTAAACACCGTTGACCAATCGGCTGAAGAGTAAGTTAATTGTATAATATCAACAATTTTTCGCTATTTTTGCCTAGCTTTTAACAAGAGTGTTTAAAATTGCTGCTCACATTTGATCAGATTTTTTTTTACCGTAATTCTAATAACTTAATTCGTTGTCACATTAACTATTAATATTTATCATCCTTTCGTCATCTCGCTCTCGATTTCTCTCTCTCTCTCTCTCTCTCTCTCTCTCTCTCTTTAGTCCGCTTTTCACTCGTTCATCACTCGACGATAAAGTTCATTTCGCATCACAATCTAATTCACCCAAAGCTCAATCGTTGGGCGCTACTCCAACACAAGATTCATCTAAATCAACCTCGCTTTCTGCTATATCTCGAAGCCATTCCAGTAGTCAAGAAACAAGCGCCAGTATTTCATCTGATCATTTAAACACTTATTCTGATTCACTTAATAATACCTTTTCAAACACCACCGCGACCACTACCACCAGTGGTTCAAGTAAGATTGATTTCACTGGATCATCAGTAACAACAACAACAACCTCATCAAATTTATCATCTCCTACTAATACTAATAATCATATTAACGCTTCATGCACCAATCAAAATGACATTAGTGACAAATCAACTGATCATTTATCACCGCTTTCACGTCTTAATGAGTATGTTTAATCATTTCTAATTTACTTACACGTTAAACATAATCAACTATCATTTGATTCTATTCTCATTCATTTGTGCTCTCTTTATTTAATTATCCTCTTTGCTTTCTCATCTCTTTCACAGAAAATTAAAACAATCAACTGGAATCAAGGAAGCTAATTTCACTTCCGAAATCCGGCCGATTCCAAATGCATCTAATTCCAATCAAACGAAACCCTCCAATTACCCGATTCAAGAGCCTTACATTGACTTTGAACTAGATATTAAAGTTTTCTTCAATAGTGGAAAATGTGTTTTCCATACTCGAGAAACAACAGCCAAAGATGAAGATTATTCACGAAAAAATGGCCTACCCAAAGAACGAAGTTTCATCGGAAACCCTGATGTACTTTCATCACCATTGGGACATATTCCTCGTTCATCGGCACTTCGATCATCATTAACAAATAACAAACCATTAAATACTGGTGGATTAAAGTCTAATCTTTCATCAAGCCGATTGCGTTATCCGAACTCGGCTGGTACCAATACTGGACAAATGGATTATTCAATATTTTTAATTCCAGGTTTAGATATTAAAGTTCATTACAATTCAAAGACAGTTTTTGGTACTACATCGGGTATAACAACATCTTCACAACAACAAACAGCATCATTTGGACCGAGTCATCTTAGAGTTGTCCCCGAATCTCGAGATACCGAAACAAACATGGCAACCACAAGTTCATTTCCTAATCCCGCTAAACGTGGTGGCTCTAAAAAGGCCTCTTGTTATGCCTGGATGACCTTGCACTCAATACCAGAGGAAACCATAATCTCACCTCATATACTTGACTTCATGGAGCAAGCACTTGAGCCCATTCCCATTCAACCGCCTTCATCCTCGGGTAAAACCTCATCCCCCGCATCTGATGGCCACCAATTAACTCCCGATGATTTTGCCAGACCTGATTTAATCACATCGGCACCAGCTCAATATGCTGTCTATGGGTCTTTTCCGGTTGATGTTATTGTTTACCTTCACATGCAACCCTCTGTCCTACGATTTAGTTGTCTTCCGGTTTCTCGAGTTGAATGTTTACTTCAACTTCCCTCAGTTGATCTTGTCTTTTCATCCAAACGACTTCAAGATGAACTTGACATTAATTTACCACAACAACCTTTAGGTAAAAATTTTCCCTACTCAACATCTTGTGGTCCTTCTCGAACAGGTAACGTTAAACATGGCCATAAAAGGTCAGCATCGGATTATCGTCACCCTCAACATCAAACGGAAACATCGATAGGTGGCCTAAGTATGACCGTTGTCTTGCTGATTTTCACTTTACATTTTCCACCCATACGGTGGACAAAAGAAAGCACCAGGCTCATCAATTTCCGAGGCCACATCTTTCCCTAACCCGAAATCAAACTCTGATCGCAAAGATGCTCTTAGCTTACAAGTTGAATTTGTTAAGATCAACATTTCTCGAAGTCGCCGACTCGTTTTAAGCTTGAAACTTCCCACCATCAATTATCCGATCATCTCATTCATCACAAGACAAACTTAATCAAACAGTTATGATACGATTCTCAGCACTTTGCGACATTGGTTCAGCTTCGTTTAAATATGATATGCGCCGATTGACGGAAACTTTGGCCTTCCCTAAAGCCTGGTATCGAAAGGCCATTTGGAAGCGTATGTTTTTGGGTGACCAAGGAATCTCTGGTCATTCAATTTTCTCCGATCAAGATTACAATTTATCTTCATCTTCATCTTCCTCACCATCAACATCAAGTTCATCAACGAGTATTAATGAACCAGGTTTACCAACTTCGTCCATCAAAACCTCAGGTCATTTTAATAAATCTCCAAATAGTCGAGGTAGAGATTCATTATGGTTAAATATTCAAGATACTGATGTTCATCGTTCTCAACATGCAAGTTCATCCCATCGCATTAAACACTCTCACTTGCACTCATCAGTCTCATCGGAAGGTACAAATCAACAACAACGACAGATCATGAATGCACCTTGAAAACTTTGATTCTTTTCGTGTTAACCTTTGTAAACTTAATGTTCACATGAACATGGCCAATGTTATGGGTAATACTAGTTGGTTGACTCGAGGTTTCCGTTCAGAGGGAAGAGTGTCGATCGACTCAAATGGTCATAAAAGTGTCAATGTTAGTCTGGGTTTGGATGGTTCCTCCTTGGATGCCAAGGGTGGTATTATCGGTGGTATTTTTGAAATTTCCCAAATTCAAACGAAAGTAAATATTAAGGAAAATTATGGCAAAGAACCAGATCATATGATCACATTGAAATTAGATGCACTTGAGAAGCGTCTTGATTATATGGGAACATCAATCTTAATGTTGCGAATGTCTGATCTTGATTTAACACTTCGAGATGAATGGAGGATCGATGCTGGTGCCAACAGTGGTTCTAATCACCCAACCAAACGACCTGCTTGTATTTTTATCCATTGTAATCTGGCCTGGGATCAATTACAATTGTTAATGTCCAAATCAACGACTCCTGATATTATGAAGATCATCGCTAAGCTTGAAGAGTTTTTCAGTCAACAATTTCACAATTCGAAAAGGGTTTTTTCCTCTTCCGGTGTTACCTCTTCCTCTTCAACTAATAGGAATTCATTCAAGAAGGATAAAAGTACCAGAGGATCGGGCATAGTTAAACCCTCTACACCAACATCAACATCCAGTGGTTCGGGTTTAGTTGATTCTGGTTCACCGAGTAATGAGATTTATCGTCATCATCGTCATTGGCAGAAAGTTTTGCGTCTTGTATCGGGTGCATCTCTATCCACCCTTTGTAATCCTCTGCCCACCAAGGGAACTATTCTTGGTGGTACCTTTGAACTTATTGGGAATATTTCATTGGCCTGTTTTATGGAATCAATTTCCGTTCCAAGTCATGGGGACTTTTCTCCATGTTGAAACCATCAATTTCCTTTGCATCGGAAGCTCAAGATGTGGTCAACAATGAGACAGGTTCATCGGACACTCATATAATTCAAAATTTTACCTTCTCTCTTGGTCGCCGCGATCGTCGTCGAGATGTTGATGAGGCCACTTTTCGGTTGATTGTTTTCACTCAACATTCCAACATGGCCACTGTTTGTAAAATTTCACGAACCGTTATGTTCCCACCGCAATTTAAATCTCCATGAATGGTTTCAGTACACTTTCGCTGGCTCAGAATTAGATCAAATTAATCGGTTCCCAGTTATTGAATTTGAACGATCTGGTGATGGTTTTGTTCCGCGGCTTCAGCTGCATCAGGGGAATTTCATTCTCGACGATTCTCCGTTAACCCGAAAAGTAATGAATGTCATCACTCTAAGGAGGTCATTTTCGCTCTGCCCAGTTTCCAAATGGATCTGAAAACTGAACATCTTCAAGGTATCAGGCCACCATTGGCAATAGATCCAAAGCCAAAGGTTGATTGTACTTTTGTCACCGATTTTGATGACCACATTTTCGTCGCCGTTGATGCAGAGGCTTACTTTTTCCTCCACGAATTGATTACCAGCTATTTCAAAGAGAAACAGATTTATTTTACTCGAAGTTCAACTGGAGCACAATTAATCGATAAACCTGAACAATTGATGGACAATAAGTCCAATTTATCCTCCAACGACAATAAAGATACACCAATGTCATCTGAAGCCTCTGCTGGATCTTCATCAGCACAATCAATTATTTACGAACGAGATTTTCGTGACTTTCAATGTCAAACTTGGCATTTGGAGCCAACAGTTAGGTAAGTGATTTAATCAAACTTTTCGATTGTTACATAATATTTAAACTATTATATCTCTCGATTTACTCTTAGGCTAATTACATGGGCCGGTAAAAACCTCGAACCATATGGAGTTGATTATATCCTTCAAAGACTCGGTTTTGCCCAAGCTCGAACCACAATCCCGAAATGGATACAACGAGGAGCAATGGACCCACTTGATAAAGTCCTTTCGGCAATAATGTTCAGGGTCATCTCGGCATCTAAAAATGAATCATTGCCAAGCTCAAGATGATGACCAATCAATCCAATGACCAGATAACAACTATCCAAAAATAAAATCTTTTCACTCTCTTTCTCTCTCCTAGTCTCTTTTTCCTATTGATTTTTCATCAACGAAATTTTCATCCAACTTTTGATTACCTTTCGTTGGGCTTATTGGTTTTGCCGTTACTTTTTAAATGAAACTATCTCTCTACAAACTGATTGCCGTGAATATTATCTTTCAGTGTTCAGACAATTGACCGACGCATGGATAAACACCGAAACTGCTCACAAACACCGAGAAACAATCAGTTAATCATCTAACGAGAGAAAGAGATCTAAAACTATTTCATCCTTGTAAACTATTCTAATTATTTCGTATTTCAATTGCCCCTCTTTTAATCATGTTTATATGCCCATAAAGTTGTAAATAGACTGAGATGTAAAATGGAACAATTAATGTAAAAAAATCAATGGATTCAAACTCAAGAAAAAGTATAAAAAATGATTAATTGTAATAGAAAAATCGTTTTAATGTTAATGAAATGAAATTATTGAAATTAAACAAATCGAAAATTGAACCAACTAGTAGTATTAAATTTTCATTGTTCATTGGTTATGGTTCGTATTTAATTGTATCAATTTTGTAACACCTAATTATTTCCCATTTTTACTTTATTATAAAGAATCTTAACCTTTGATTATCAATTCAAATCGTTGCCTTCCAGACAAACAAGATTCGTATAGTAAGGTGTTTTTAGATATTAACTTAAGTAATTCAAATGAAATTTGATTGAAGTTGGGTGTGCAAGATTGTTACAACTCTTTTTAGTGTTTCGTAATTTTCATTTGTGGTACTAGATTTCACATCTGATCAATAACCTTGGAGATGTAATAAAAATTTTAATTCGTAATTCAAGATGCGACATTTGTCAATAACCTTGAATTTCTAAAGAAAACTTGCGTTTGTGGTACAGATTTGACATCTGACCGAAAACCTTGCAACTTAATGGGAATTTTCATTTGTGGTACTGGATTTCACATCTGATCAATAACCTTGAATTTCTAATGAAAACTCGCATTTGTGGTACAAAATTTGACATCTGACCGAAAACCTTGCAAATATAAAGATAATTTGCATTCGTAATTCAAGATGCGACATTTGGCCAATAACCTGGAATTTCTAATGAAAACTCGCATTTGTGGTACAGATTTGACATCTGACCGAAAACCTTGCAACTTAATGGGAATTTTCATTTGTGGTACTGGATTTCACATCTGATCAATAACCTGGAATTTCTAATGAAAACTCGCATTTGTGGTACAAGATTTGACATCTGACCGAAAACCTTGCAACTTAATGGGAATTTTCATTTGTGGTACTAGATTTCACATCTGATCAATAACCTTGGAGATGTAATAAAAATTTTAATTCGTAATTCAAGATGCGACATTTGTCAATAACCTTGAATTTCTAAAGAAAACTTGCGTTTGTGGTACAGATTTGACATCTGACCGACAACCTTGCAAATATAAAGATAACTTGCATTCGTAATTCAAGATGCGACATCTTGCCAATAACCTTGAATTTCAAATTATAACTCGAATTTGTGGTACTAGATTTGACATCGAGCAAATAAGCTCTCAACAATTAAGATAATTTGCATTCGTAATTCAAGATTTTACAACAGACCAATAACCTTGAAGATGTCATTTAAATTTTAATTCGTAAATCAAGATTTGACGGATGACCAATAACCTGGAATTTCTAATGAAAACTCGCATTTGTGGTACAAGATTTGACATCTGACCGAAAACCTTGCCACTTAATGGGAATTTTCATTTGTGGTATTAGATTTCACATCTGATCAATAACCTTGAATTTCTAAAGAAAACTTGCGTTTGTGGTACAGATTTGACATCTGACCGAAAACCTTGCAAATATAAAGATAATTTGCATTCGTAATTCAAGATGCGACATTTGGCAAATAACCTTGAATTTCCTAAGAAAACTCACATTTGTAAAGCAGATTTGACATCTGACCGAAAACCTTGCAACTTAATGGGAATTTTCATTTGTGGTACTGGATTTCACATCTGATCAATAACCTGGATTTTCAATGAAAACTCGCATTTGTGGTACAAGATTTGTAGGTAAGACTCTAGAACACCACCGTTCGCAAATCGTCTTGAAACTTTTTCAGTGTATAGCCCTTAACATATAGGTCATACATATGGATGGAATTTCTGCGGAAACTTTTGGTTCAGAAGATACAGATAATCAAAAATACATTTTTACATAGGAGTCTATGGAGAAAATAAAAGTTTTCTACAGCATGTCAAAAAATTTCTAGAACAATGTTTTTGATAGCATGTATACATATTAGTATGATGATGTTATGTGTGAAAATTCAAGGTTCTGAGTGACTTGGTTGTGTAGGTAAAATTGCATGAAAAGTGTATTTTCACTGTTTTCATAGATTACTATTGAACCGAAGGTCCGCCACACTCAAAATTTAGTACATATTATTCTCAAGGTCAAACTTACTAGTCCAGGTCATTTCAAGGTCATCAAAGGAGTTTCAAATTTTTTACCTGTGAACAGCAATTTAATTGTGTTGAAGTTAATTATTCGCGATTATGGTGATTATCATGCATCAGATGGCAGCACTGAATTGATTGTAGTCAACTGAATCGTCAAGTTGCTTGAAATGCAAATAAAATTATGAGAAATCAATATCTCAGGCTATGTCATGCGTACTGTGTGTATTACTTGGTACAGGATATGCTTCTGGGGATAAATATTTAGAACTTTGGTTCACATTCCATCAAGTGCAAGCTAGAAGTTATCAAGATTGCACTGAGACTTGCCGAAGTCTTCAAATGTGACTAGCAACAACTAACCAGACCTTATTTTGGGAAGTATCCGTCTTGTTTTTCAGAACAAAGTAGTTTCTGAAAAAAGTTCGCACTAATAGTTGTACATGCAAACAGCCAATAGATGCCTTTCCTTGTGACGCACAAGTAGTTCAAACACTTTTAGATATAGAGAATAACTAGTGCAATCACTTAAACACCTCTGTGGGCTGACCGCGCGGCGAAATTTTTTTGACCCTGCCCGCCCTTCAGGTGGGCGTGGTCGCTACGCGACCACGCCCACCTGAAGAACGGGCAGATCAAAACTTCATAACCTGCGGGTGCGACATTTGACTATTAATCTCAACATTTCCTTATTGACCCTACGATCATGCAGCGCATTACATATATTATTCAACTCATATTTCCATCGAATGTATACATTCAGAAGTCCATGCATAGTTAAAAGTCAATACGTTACCATTATCATTGAAATATCCAACATAAACAAGCCTAAAAACAAAAATATAGTGACAACCTTTAAATGACCTTGACTAGCAAGTTTGACCTTGAGAATAATATGTACTAAATTTTGAGTGTGCCTGACTCACGGTTCAATAGTAATCTAAGAAAACAGTGAAAATACACTTTTCATGCAATTTTACCTACACAACCAAGTCACTTAGAACCTTGAATTTTCACACATAACATCATCATACTAATATGTATACATGCTATCAAAAACATTGTTCTAGAAATTTTTTGACATGCTGTAGAAAACTTTTATTTTCTCCATAGACTCCTATGTAAAAATGTATTTTGATTATCTGTATCTTCTGAACCAAAGTTTCCGCAGAATTCCATCCATATGTATGACCTATATGTTAAGGGCTATACACTGAAAAAGTTTCAAGACGATTTGCGAACGGTGGTGTTCTAGAATATAGCCGATTTGTATAGTAAGTTGATTGTCGATCAACTGAAATTTGAAGTAAAATTCGATTGCCATTCGAATGTATTAGGGTGTTCGATAAGGCGATATCCTAACCATGTTAAAAACAAGTTAGAAAGTTTTTATTGAAAGTAATCGCCTTTGGCGTCAATACATCTCAAACATCTTAAACATTGTTCACTGAACTCTTTTCTTTGTTTTGAGCTGAATTCAAACTATGAGGGACATTACCTGGGGTCAACTTTTCATTCCTAAAGGTCAGTAACAACATGATGCATGGTTGAAACTGCTACACTAGATCCTGAGGCAAGTTCACGAATAGAGATTTTTGGTAAGATGAGCGTTATTGTTTAAAATAGTGATTATTTAGTTGAAAACGTGCTCTAAATAACATTTTTCTCACCTCAACATAACGTTAAAGTGAAAAGGAAACAATAAGGTGAATTGTGCCTTATTTAGTCTTCGATTCGACTTTAGAAGTGTCGCATTTGTGGCTTATTCACCCTAACCATTTTAAAGTAAGAGCGTATGGTGAAGATTTCCACCCCAATGTTATTATTTTTATTTGCGAGTTTTCCTCCCAAAACCTATTAATTTTGATTATCATTGACAAGAGAGAGAAGTAAATGTATGTCTTTACTCCTCCTCTCTCCAGAAAATTAATTTCTTTATGACTTTTCCATTTCTACATTAAGCAGGAAAACTAAATTACTTTTAGGAGGAGAAAGCATTAGGAAGGTGGACATTATAAATGACCATCTCTCTAGGAAAAGCAGGAAAAGTTTAAGATCGCATCCAATTAACTTTGGGGCCCTAAGAAAGAGCTCTTTCTTTCTCTTTGTTTGGGGGTCAAACCTCTTTCTTTTGCTCTGTCTTTCTCTTTCGCATTGGGCCGAATTGGCTATAAAAAGAAGAGGAAAGACAGAGGATTGAAAGTCAGTTACAGTTCAACATTGTCACCATCAACATCAACACTTAGTTGTTTTTCTTTCTCTCTCTGTGCTACGCTTCTCTTAAGAAGTTTTAGTTTTAAGTTTTATTTTAAATATTTGGTGTACCACCATCACCTCAATCTCGTGTCCCCAGTTTCGCTGTTACCACCATACTTGTGTTCCCAGAACCTTCTTTGCTGCTAAGCCGCCGCTCAGCTCTCTCTCAGACTGACCCGTAACAGGACCATCTTCAAGGTAAGCCTTAGGCTTTTGAGTGTTCTTTTTTTCCTTTTCCTTTTTGTACCAATTGATCCTTCACCTTATTCATAACCTTTGCATGCTTGTACTTGTACCATTGATCCATTACCTTAAGTTAACCTGGTCGACTTAGTTTTAGACTTTCACCTTCCATCCTTTATCTTGACCACAACCGTTTATCAACTCCTTATCTATTCCATCCGAAACTTTACCATTATTGACACCTTCATTGGAAGTTTATTTGGTCCTTAACCATATTACCATACCTTTTCCTTTTCCTTTTTATTCATAATCATATCTCATCATAACTAGTAACCTTAACCTACGATCCTTCGCCATAAGAATCGCTTTTGAACTTAAATATTGTACTCCTCATCACCAGTCGTAACCTCTATTACGCTAAACTTCCGCCTCAAGGATAACAGTTTCATCGAGACAACATTTATCTTGAGAGTATTTTCTTTTCACGGTACTTTACCATCCTTTTTAACTATTATTACTCGCCAATTAATTGCACCGAATATAACCCTGTATTGACCATCACTATACTAGACATAATAAAGCTTTTCATCGAAGGTCAAGA